TAAATCTACTCTGCTCTTTCCCTGTTCTCACTGGTTTCCACTCTTGACTAGCTGCATTCATTCCCAGCAGGTGCCTGAGGTATTTGGATGAATGCTGCAGAAGTAGAAGAGTCTTGTGGTGTAATTAAATACCTTTTATTAATTAAAATGAAGATGTGACTCCACAGCCTGTGGGTTTTATGATACTTTTGTTCTCAAAGAAGATCTTCTACTCTTCTGATTTCATTAACTGTGACCAAAATAAAGTTTTTACAAATAATGGGTAATTATATTAATTGTTGGAATCTCTAACAGGCATGGGAGACATGTTTCTATAGAATTTGAGTGTTGGCACTCAATGCCTTTAATCCCATGTCTTGGAATGCACAGGCAGGAGGACTGTGAGTTCAAGTCCAGCTTGAGTTAATAGTGAGACCTTGTCTCAAAATACAAATAAGAATAATAAAAATTTAAATTACTAATGTCCAATATGATACCAGAATAGAGCTAACATTAACTATATGTATACCCTTAATTCATATGTGTACCTCAATGCCCCAAATCCCCAATATCCTACCACCTCTGTAATATAGGCATGATCATTATCTCCAATTTACAAAGGAGAAGGCAGAGTTTACCCAAGGACATAAATATGGTGGTAGCACCATTATTCTAATCCAACAGTGAGCCCCTTGGGGGAACTTCTGTGACACTTGTAGTTATTGGAGAAACTATTCTCTCTCTCTCTCTCTCTCTCTCTCTCTCTCTCTCTCTCTCTCTCTCTCTCTCTGTGATGTGCACATTTTATATGGGTGTGTGTGTACATAGGGTGCATACACATGTGTGCACATTTTTGTGTAGGTCAGAGGACAGCCTCAGATCTGGTCCCTCATGTGTTTTTCCTTTTGATTTTTTTACGAAGGTTTCTCCCACTGGCCTGGAGTAGACTGAGCAGGCTGGACCGGAAACTCCCGAGGATCTACCTGTCTCCCCTTCCCCAGCACTGGGATCACAATCTTTGTTTGGCTTTTTTAATGTGGGTTCTGGGGGGTTATGTCAGGTTTGTGCCACAAGTATTACTGACTGAGCCATCTCCTCAGACCTAAGCGATTTTAAACTTGTTCTTTGAGAATGACAAACATGGATATAATGTGCTTGGAGCAAACCCACCCACTGCCAGTAGAAATGTCTCTTCCTAGAGAGAAGTCCTAGATGCTAGTCCCAGATGGTTCTGAGTTTTTCCACAACACCAAACCTGCTGTTGACTTGTAAGGCTAAGATGACCTTGGTGAGACTCTTCCTGGTGAAATGCAGAGGCTGGTCTGCAGAAAACCAATGGTTAGCTCCTGATTCCAGAGAGGGTCTAACAGAACCTTCTCTATGCTCCTTTTGGCCCTTGCATTGTGATTCATGGTGTACACTTCGTGTAAAGGATATGGCAGTCAGGCCCTTGTAGGGATCCTCTATAGCTCAGAAGGGCAATGGAGGTCCATTAATAAGAACACAATGTTATTGTCAGCTGTTAACATAGCTAAATAAGGTTTTGGATATAAACCTCCTCCTGAGTCCTAAATTATAGTTCCAGTTGTTGATCTATGAAAAAATGAACTGGCTCATGGCCAGTGTTTTCTATTCCATCTTCTTCCTGGAAGCCCATCATTGGAATCTGCCAAATATTAATCCTTATCCATAGTCCTTCATCCCACAAAATAGGAAAAGTTCCAAACATGGAGGAAGAAATAGAGAAAAGAAAGACAAACAGATGTAAAGGAGGGAGAAAGAAAAACAGACAGAACAAGAAAGCATCTCATGGCCGTGAAGACCAGGAGAAGCCTTTTAGGATTTAACTGCTCCACCACTGAAATTACCCATTATCCCCTGTCTGACTTTATGGTTAGGTTGTATTCCACGCTGGAAAGACCAATACAAATGTTTATTTTAGCACTAGAACTCAGCTTCTCTTACGTAGATGGAGCCCCTGAATGGACTTGTATACTGTGCTGCACTGAACACAGTATCTGAGCACTATGCCCAGATGGAGACATTGTCTTCAGAGAGCAGCTGATTGGGCTTTTGGAGAGAATTTTAATTTAGCTGAGGGCAAGATTCAAAAATGACCCTCCAAAAATGGGGGTTTTCCCAGGAATCTCATGCTAACAGAAGGAAAGGGCACTAGCCAGAGGGGGGACTTGTCTCCTGGAAAGACATTCCAAACAGTTCTAACAACTTGTCAGACAGGATGAGAATGAATCCAGATAACCATGGGTCCATTGTATTTGAGACCACACCTTGACCCGGACTCTTCATATCCTCTGCCCTCTATTTAACCTTTGATCTCACTTCAGGACCCAAAAGATGGACTTGAAGGGTTTGCTGGATACTTATGTCTTCCCTATGAGCTCCATTGACTAAATCTCATTTTAACCCTTTCCTTTAAAAAAATAGTTTGCTATTTTTTGCCAGTGAATTTCAAATTTTCATGAGATAGTGAGTCACTTACATAAATTCTTAATATTAAATGTCTACCGTGTGACTAGCTAAAAAGAATTCCATCATGTTGAAAGTTAAGAAGCCATGGCACTCTACTCAATAAGGGAACATACAAACCTGGGGCAAAATGTTCTTTGCTTCCTCATTCTTAATGTCTTAGAATAGGCTTACTGTCACTTACCAGTCAGCTAAGGCACAGTCTATTAGTAAGACATTCCAGGTCATTGCTACCAATGTACCTACTGAAAGAAATAATACAAGTCCCAATTATATCCCATGTAGAGGGGAGAGTGAATTCAGACTGACCATCAAAATAAGGACAAATGATACTAGTGTGTGAGAAACAGACTTATCCTTCTACCTCTCCTTCTTTCCATGTTCTCTTCTCAAGAACATCTCTCTGGCTGGGCAATGAGGCGTCTGCACCGGTCTGCATTCTTGTTTGGATCTGTGGCTGGGTGACTTAACAGTGAAGGTTTCTTCACATTTGCTCAGAGTGATTGGTATATAGCAAACTTCACAAATATCACTTAACATCAGTCAATGGGAATGATGGTTTGAAAACTCATTCAGATCTACTCCATTTTCTCTTATCATAGTGTGAGAAGAGAAAGTTTGAAAACAAATCGAATAGTCATTAAAATCATAGATAATAACTTGGCTTGACAAAACATTTTAAGATCTAAAAGGATGGAGACAGGTTGGAAACATGAAGCAAATTTTAAAAGATGAAAATTATTACTCCATCTCAAGGTTCTTGAATAGAACCTTCAAGCTGGGAAGGGGATGGATGAACAGCATCATTTATGCTGTACACAGATGCCAGAATGGAGAATGTGGTCCTTGACCACCCCAGCAGAACAAAGACAAATGTAATCATTTCACTCTATTCTACAGCCACACCGTGAATATGGCGGGTAATTACCTGGCTGATGAAGACAAGCATGGGTGGAAAATTCTAGAAATCTTGGCACAAGTAGATCCAGTTAACCTCAGTGAGGAGTGTACTTAGGGAGGGAAAGCTTGAACTAAAACAAGGCTTCGAAGCAGACTCCTGGTGGGATTATGCATGCCCAGCCTTCCACAGCCAAAGGCTGTACCCACACAGTGGGCTCAAGCACTGAGTGGGTACAGACTTTGTTTCCGGCCATAATTCCCTAAACAGTGTTGTGAAATGAAATGAAAGTTTCAATGGTAATTGCCATCAGACTCCTTTAGTTTTGCAAAATCCTTAGTGCAAAGCAATTAGGCAGTGGGCTAAATTGCTGGAGGAAGGTGATGTGTGTGGGTAGTCCCACTGCTATGATGCTCTGGGTCTCATTCATATTTACTGTATTTAATTTTTAGATAAGACCTCAAAATTATAGCTCAAGCTAGCCTTGAACCTACAATCCTCTAGCCTTGGCCTCTCAAATTCTGGTTGTACCAGTTTGAACCCCCAAGCCTGTTTGTCTTGATGTCTTCTGGAGTTTCTGATTGTTTTGTACTTACGTAAATCAGCATTCCTTTCTCTCGCCCCAACATTCACACTGGGCTCTTAAATAGGCATAAAAATGCATAGGAAACGTCAAAACCCCAAAGTTCTACTACTGCCTGCGGATCATCGGGCCATCCCAGCAGCAGGTGGATCCATTTCACTTCCAAATGCTGCACACATCTAGTTACCGCGTTTGAGTTGATTGCTGTTTACAATAGAAACTAGCTGTTTGCGTATTGCATGGCAATTGTAGTGATTTACTTTTTACTTTTATTTTGAAATAGGATCTCATTTAGGCTGGTCTGGAAATTATGAAAACTCTTTATACTGCCCAGGCTGGCCTTGAAATTATGATTCTCCTGCCTCTATCTCCCCCAAAGCTGGTATTACATGAATATAACACCCATATTCAGCCTTGATTTACTTCTTAGGCTTGTGCTTTCTGTGCCACAAACATACTATAGAAGGGGCTAAGAGCCCTGGGCAGCCAGTGCTTTTCCCAGGGGAGTGGAAGGAAGGTCATCTGACTTTGCACGAGGCAGCTCTGCAGCCCCAGCACTTCAGGGGCAGAGCTGTTAACGAGCAGCCCCTGCTCTCCACTCCGTTGTGTGGCTTTGCTTAAGTTTCTTGTCTACTGGCCCCTTTGTTTGCTTTCTGCACTTGAAAATGGAGACAGTAGCACCATTTCTCAGGGGTGTGAGAGTGGTAAGCTCACACACACAAAGAACCCCTAGACACCCACCAAGTGCACACAAAACACTTAATAGTGATTTTTATGTCTTTGGGATCACCTTTATTTTTATTTGATAGATGGACACAAGCACAAAATGTTACACTCATAGCTATGGTATATTACAGCAAAAAGATATGGGTAGAATCTCAGAAGGGCCAGGAAATCTTCAGGAAAATCAAAAATAAAGTGGTGTGTGGAAAACAGAAACCAAAAAAGAAATAAAAAGGAGCAGTTCTCTGTGTTTTGATCTTCAAGGTGAATAACAACCATTACCAGCATGAACTGTCTGTGATTGTCTGTGTTTCCTGCCTCTCTTGTTAGATCTCAGTCTGTGGTAGAAGCTGGCACCCTGAAACATGAAGAGAAGGGAGAAAATGAGAACACGCAGCCACTGCTGGCTCTGGATTGAGCCACATCATGTGATGCTCCCATGCACAAGCCTCCAGTGGAGCCGCCACCCAGGAAGCACCTGTGCGACCGACCTACAGAGACATGTGCTCTGCTTGACATGAGGTCCTCCACTCCATCCCCAGCCACAACTGTCAGCAACCATTGGTCTGAGCAGCTCACATTGGACAAAGATCTGAGAGATGCTTTTAAAACTTAATTTAACTAATTAATTTATGTTTTAGGGAGGGCTTGGAGGGGATGAAGCAAGGCATTGATGTAAAAAGGATTCTTCCTCCCCACATATATATGGTAGCAAATGTACTTAAAAAAAAGGAAAGACTAAATTTGCTGCATATACATTAGGACAAGAATTGCTCTAAGGATTTACACAGGAACCCTCTCCAGGTTTTGCAAATTAAGATGAAGTGCATTTCCAAATAAATACAGCAGAATTAAACCATGCAGACACAGCATCAAGTTTAAGGGAGTGCAGAACCCCAAGACAATAGTAGCTACAATAATTTTCAGTTTTATTGACTTATTTTCTGACCCATCACCAGCATCTAAGTGTTCAGCCTGAGAGCGTGACCTCACAGGTCTGGCTGTTTGCAAAGTTTTTAATTTAAATATCCTGCAAGAATGATTTGGACATCACATTGTTTATCAGGCCACCAGCTGACTTCATGAACTGGTTTTAAAGAAGTCACAGCCAGTTGACAGATGACTGCTTCATCTTAGCAAAGTGATTTCCTGCAGGCATCAGGGGGAGTGTCTATAGAGAGGAGACAACTCGTTGAAAACAAAACAAAACAAAACAAAACACTGATGAACCCATTCAAGTTAGTTCTTGGGTTTCTACAGTAAAGAAAAGTGCTAGCAAGTCACTTTGTCCCCCCCACCCCCATGAACTGTGGAGAAAGGCCCTGAGCAGGCACAGTCCTCACACAGAAAGACCCTTAAGGATGGCTCAGCATGTAAGTACCAAGCTGAGAGAAGACCAAGAATGCAAGATGAAATGCCAAAGACCAATCTACTTCTTTATTCATGCTCCTTAGAAACGGACCCCTAGTCCCCACTCACAGGAAGTCAGACAGAAAACAGACTCAAAGGTTAGGATATTTTATCTGTGTCATGTTTCCCAAGACCAGTTGAGTAGATGTAGATATCTTATTCCCCGCCTATCTGTACAACATAGGCACTTACTAATATGACCAGAGTGCTTAATGTCAAATGAAAATTTTAATTGATAATGCTTAGTAAGATATTTTACATTTTAAGCATTTGGTAGGTTGATTTGTTAGTTGAACAACCTAAAGGAAACAGGAAACCAATTCAACTTTCAACCAGCCATAGTACCTAAACAATATTGCTAATTGTGGGCACCTCTCTTCTGTCTCCCTTCTCTTCTTGCCTCTTCTCAGAATTTCTGTGTCTCTTGCTGTTTCTCCCTTTTCTCTTCTTATCCCTTCTCCTTTGTTTTTTTTTCTGTCTCCCTCCCTCCCTTCCTTTCTCCTCCCCCCTCCTTCCCATGCTGGAGATCAAACTGAGGGCCTTGTCATTCTAGGCAAGTGTTCTACTCCCGCACCTGAGACATTCTAGAGACACACACTCTTTCTCAGTTCATCTACTAGTTTATTATTTTTTTCTACTAGCAGATAATAGTAACAGAACCTATTTTTATGTTCCAACCTTGAAGAAGTAAAATTAGAACAGAATTGAAAGTACTTCTCAAACAACTGCACCATAGAATATAAAAACACCAATTCATTTTGTATAGACCTTTTGAATTATAAAATAACAACCCTGAAAAATGTCTACCAAGGCATTGGTGAAAACTCTTTCCTTATGATACAAGTAAGAGAAAGGAAAAATTAAAGTCAATTAGAAAATCTTTTATTGCTTGGGTTTATAAAACAAATGTAGGATCCAAGTACTCAAAATGCTGTTGGAGTCAACAACTGCCAACTCTTGTAACAATAATGGTTCTTCTGGCTTTTCACATGGCAATATTTAGAATCCTACTGTAATGACCATATTTTAAAAACCTTGTTGTATTTCCTATCAATTGCTAATTTCCTCTCATTTCCACCATTTTATTACATGAATGTAAGGTGATGGTTTAACAAGGAGAACATATGGTTTGCATTTTGTTATGTGTATGTAATATGTAAGAGAACTAAATCCAATAGGCGACCGAGTGTTACTCCATGAACACTGGATTGTATTGCCTTTTGCCAGTAAGTTCTGCCATTTAATAAATACTGAAGAACACAAATATCTTTTTGTTCTCTAAGAGTTTGTTTTCTTTTCTGGAATTTGGTAATGATTTGGTATTTTGCTCCCATGCCTTTGCCATCTGTTTTAGAGGAATTTTTGAACACTGGCAAAAGAAGGAAAAAGTACCTATTTTAAGAATGGACACATATTTTGTAAACTTTCTACTAAAAGCTAATATCCTTAAGCTAAAAGAAAAAGGATCAATTTCAAGGTCAAAGAATTTCTCTTTAAATGAGGTCCAGAAAGCTGCTCCTTTTGACATTAGATGAAAAAAGTGCATCTATGTCTTATCTGCCTGTACAGCTGGAATCTGTGTCATTTCTGCAGCATTGTTGATCAACTGGCTTGGAGATCAGTGCATGAATGTCATTACATTCCAGAGCCTGAATTAGCTTTATTCAAAACAGAAAATCAAATGCAGTGATGCTTTACTAATGAACTGACCGTCTTTGCAATGAGGAGCAAGATGACTTTCTATTGCTCTTCCTATGCCACGGGTAGTACACATGGAAACACTATTTACTGCTCTTCCTATGCCATGGGTAGTACTCAAGTCAAACACACATGGGAACACTATGTACTGCTCTTCCTATGCATTGGGGTAGTACTCAGATCAAACACACATGGGAACACTATTTACTGCTCTTCCTATGCCATGGGTAGTACTCAGATCAAACATACATGGGAAATGCTATTTTAAAATAACGATTCGCTGGCAGATGTTTTTTGAGTGCAGAAGATGGAAAAGGTCTGCAAATTCAGAATCAAACAAGCTGGAGCACCTACACCCAGGGAAGAATGCAAGCATTCCTCGGGACTTCCTATGCTATTCTTCCTCCATTGATAAAACTGTGAGGAGCCTCTCAGAAACCAAGCAGCCATCTTCTTGGCACTCAAGCGGATCGACAGCAGGCAGACACCGCAGGTTCCAGGCCCTGTGCACAGAAGGTAAAGAGCCTGCCCAGGCTACCTGGCCACCTGACCCTGAGTGGGAACTTTCACCTCCATGTTACTTCTTCTCTCTGAGCCCCCTATCTGTGGTATATTCTTATTACAACATGAAATGTTTCCATGGCTCTGCTCGGTGTAAAAAAAAGTATTGTTCCTAGAAATAAGAACATGATACCATTTCTATTATTAGCACAGAGAAAGGGGAAGACACTGAGTCTAAATGAAGTTCCCAGGTGGACCCAAGGGCAAGGGTTGGCACAGTTTATACATCCTGGAGGAACTTCCCATTTATGTTAGGAAAATAAAGTTGCCTTCTTCACAAGTGGTTTTTTTTTTCCCTAAAAGGAATATGTCTTAATTTAGCAGGAAAATTACTATTTAACAGTCAGAAGTAAAGCATTTATACTTATCAACAAAAACATGGTGACAGAATAGTGTAGCTACCTAGAAAAATATAACTGCATAGAAAAATGACAAACTAACGTGATTCATTCACAGTTTCTACATATAGTATATCCTCAGTGTACATTGATGTAGACATGGTTCTGTGTAGAAAAATATCTCTGGCTAGCAATGTAGATACAGCCAAGCATTCCCCTTCAGTCCAGGCAGAAGTTCTGTGCTGTCAGGAATAATGTGAAGCCAGGGGCCTCCTAAATGAATTTCAGTATGGCAAATACTCCTTCCAGGGATTTCCCATCCAGAAGGAACCCTAGAGGTCTTTAGCTGCAAGGCAAAGGGATGAAGAGTCTTGGCACTTGAAATTTCTACGTCCACACTCCAGAAGAAGTGGAAAGGCAGCCTCAAGCTGAGCACCCAAGGCCATGTCAATTTCTTCTAAATGGCAGGAAGGCTGCGTCTCTGCTGAGGGGTCAGCTCGGGGTGCCACACATCCACGATGAAGATCAGCCGGAACGATGAGGCATCCTGCCACACCTCATGCTCAAAAGAGTCATCAAAGATGAGCACCTTGCCTTCTTCCCATGCCCTGGAAAAGAAAATCATGCATTGGTCAGAATGGCCTTGGCAGTGTTACATGCCTGAGGACCAGTTTCTGTCCACAGGCAGGAGGACCCTTCTGACTATAACACCAAGCCTGTAAAGTCTTCCATTAATGATTAAGAATTTCAAGCTTCTTATTAGGGACACCAATCTTCCCACTCTGCACTAAAGATATGCAAAGGACATGGGCTAATGATGAGGACATACTGGCTTTATTTCATACCCTCCATTTAGTCTGGATGCTATCTTAAAGCATATTCGTTTAGCTGAGCAAGTATCTAGATCAGTGGTTCGCAACCTTCCTAACCCTGTGACCTTAAATACAGTTCCTGATGTTGTGGTGACCCAACCGTGACATAATTTTCTTTACTACTTCATAACTGTAATTTTGTTACTGTAATGAATTGTAATGCAAACATCTGATATGCAGGATATCTGATATGCACCTCCTGTGAAAAGGTCATTTGATCCAATGGGGCCTCAACCCATAGGTTGAGAACCACTGATTTAGATGCATGCCCTGGTAGCTCACACATGGAACAACTTCCAGGTCAACAACTTCACAGTTGTCCCATCCATCCTTTCAGAGGCTGGTTTAGACTTATGGATGGTGAAGGCTGAAGTTTCCATTCCGAGGACCCACATAAAAGCTGGACACAGCACAATCCTCTGTAATTCTAGTACTCCTATGGGGAGATGGGAGGCTGGGAGACAGGAGCATCTCCAGAAGTTTGATGATGGCTGACATGGTGTACGCAGTGGTGACAAAAAAAGAGAGTCCTGTCTCAAACGAGACAGAAGGTGAGGACCAACACTCAAGGTTGTTTGAGTTCCACACACATGTGGAACACACACACAGTGTATACACATGTGCCTGCATTTACCCTCACACAAATGTGTGTACACACACATGCAGGAACCCACTTCCCCATCCACACACCGTCAACACAAAAATTAAAAGGCGCATGTATGTTTTAGCATCACTAGAACTAACTTCTGCCCTCAGGCTGAATGGTAAGCGTTACATGCTTCGACTGGGCTTAGTTATGCTCAACCACCAAGTGACATTTGTGCTCACCTTTTGGCCCTTGTAACTTTGCTGCTGTGAGTACTGTCTCTCTGTCTCTTTTTGGACACTTTCCATCCTTTCCTTCTGTCTGTCCGGTATCTTTGTCCCTTACACCCACTGACACTGTTCAATTTCTCTGGTAACACTAGATCAAGAAAATGACTATCTCTCTGTTTAAGATATTTTAAGAGTGGGGAGTTGGTTGATTTTCTATCTCTTTTTTCTTTTTGTTTTTTTTTTCCCTTAGTTTTCTTTTCAGATTTAGTTTCACAAGGTTATGAATGCCTGTTCTGTCATTTGCTGCCCAGTCTAAGTTTCTGACCTTTGTAACCCTTTCAGTGAACACCGTATTCCCTATATTTGGAAGAACTATATAAAACAACTAAGCAACACATTTGAGAGGCACACAGTAGAAGGAATGTGCAGGTAGGTGGGTGGTAGACGGAGAAGGCAGTTTGAACTTTCTTTTTTTTTTCCCTGAGACAGGGTTTCTCTGTGTAGTTTTGCGCCTTTCCTGGGACTCACTTGGTAGCCCAGGCTGGCCTCGAACTCACAGAGATCCGCCTGGCTCTGCCTCCCGAGTGCTGGTATTAAAGGCGTGTGCCACCACCACCCAGCGGCAGTTTGAACTTTCTATTGCAAATATTAGTTGCTTTTTGTCAGTTAATTAACTTAGAAATTTTATTGTTAGATTCCTCCAATATATCATTTATTCTTCTCTGAGGTGACTCTGCCTGCCCTAAGTTCCACCTCACCTTTGGAAACTACTGGAAACATTTCTCATTGTCACAAAAGGTGTGGGGCATACTACTGCCCTCTAGTGGCTGGAGGCCGGGATGTTGCTGAAGAGCAATGCACAAGACCATCTTGGCCAGGTGTCCACAGTGCCAAGGCCCATAAAATGTCGCCACTCCTGTTCTCAAGGCATGTGTCCTGATGATAATATCATAAACAGACAGCACTGTTTCTGCTATGCTGTGACCCTTTGCTAAGGTTCAATAGAAAATTTTAAATGTTTAAGCAGAATTTTAATATCTGAGAAAATTTCATTTAAAAGGTGACAGCATTTAGCACATTAGTATCACTTAATATGTATATTCACATTAATATCTCTATATAAATCCAGGAGCATTGACTCAGCTCACAACTTTCCGTGGATTAGAGAGGTACTGCACAGCCATTGCCTGCATGGTTCTCTCTTGATGTCTTGTTTAGACTAACATTCTATTTAGATTTTGGTTCTCATTCAGCTCTCTTTTGGGGTACTGCTAGAGGCCCTGTAGAGTGCTTTGCGACACTGATTTAGAATATTCCATGCATAACCCACTTGCATAGTAGATGAAGCTAAGAATATAAACAAGATTAATTTCCAATCTGCCTGTTTTTCTAAGCTAGAATACTACTTAGGAAACACCTAATTTGGTTTTCTGGTCACTGCATGTAAGACTTATTTCTTTCAAAAATGGATCTTCGATAAATGGACTGAGCTGCAGAACTGTGTCAGGTTTCCTCCTAGAAGACAAAGATTTCTGAGCTATGACTGCCATCTCCCCAACTCAACACAGACGTATCTTTTTTTTTTTTTTTTTTTTTTGGTTTTTTTTTTGGTTTTTCGAGACAGGGTTTCTCTGCGTAGCTTTGCGCCTTTCCTGGAGCTCACTTGGTAGCCCAGGCTGGCCTCGAACTCACAGAGATCCGCCTGGCTCTGCCTCCCGAGTGCTGGTATTAAAGGCTTGCGCCACCACCGCCCGGCTCAGACGTATCTTAAGGGCATTATGCTGAATGAATTAAGGTAGTCACTAAAGGCCAGATACTGTATGACTCCACTTACATAAGGTCCTAGAGTGATCAAGCTCATACAGACTAAAGTGGAACGGAAGTTGTCGGCTGAGATGGGGAAGAGGTAAGGCACGGACTCAGTGTTCAACAGTCCAATGTTTTGATATAAAATTCTGGAACAGGTGGTAGCAATGATTATACAATGTAAGTGAACGTAATGACAATAAACCATACATCTTAAAATGGTTAACATGTTTAACTTTATGATGTGCTTTTTACCATGATTAAATTAAAAAAAAAAAAATTGAAAGACAAAAGGGACACATGAGAGAAAAGAGTCAAAAAGCATCTGAACACAGTGGGACATCATGGTCTTTGAAGGGAACAGAATACACTTTTTGGTTCTGGCATTTGTCACTTGAGTGATCTGGGGCAAGTTACGGAAGCTTCTTTATTAAGGATGATTTATGCCCTGATAAATCCATCACAAATCAAAAGTCCCACACATGGCTAATGCATGCAATATACTATCCAGACTGAACATGCTAGTTTAACCTATGGTACACATGCTCTGGATGTTGAGAATTAGCCTACAGCTGGGCAAGGTCATCTAATGAAAAGATTACAGTATACCAATGTGTGGAATTACTAACATGTATTGGAAACCAATGTCGAACAAATTCCAGCAACAGAACTGTGGAGTCTCGGCTGGTCATCCAAGGGATGGAATGGCTGACTGAAGGTGTGCTGCTGTGTCCCAGCATTACTATAAGGTGCTAGTACACATTGCTGACCCAGGAAAAGGTCAAACTTACAAGTTCAGTTCCTCTTGAGTGGGTGTCATTTCTTCACAATCATAAGGTTGGAAGGCTACAAGGACAGCTGTTAGTACGTTAAGTTGGGGGTCTGCACTGAGCACTTTCACACTTGTGCTTTCACCTGCAGTCTTCATAAGAGGACATGGGAGACATTCAACTTCACAGTAGAAATTTTGAAACAGATATGGGAATAAAACAGCAAATACAGAAAAGACAATAGACTACCAAGAATAAATTTGACATCACTCCTTATAAAATCTGACTTAATTTGAGAAAACTGAAAATATATTTTGGATACCAATGACAAATGGCTTTTGAAGTTATTTGAGCACCAGAGAATTTGGAAGCTATTTAAAAGACTACATGTAATTCAAATAAAGTACAAAATTCCCCGTTGCATAAAATGATATTTTCCAGGATAGTCTGATAGGTACAATGAAACCAAAGATTTAGGAATGTTTAAAAAACCTTAATCATGCCATTCATCAACCTACATTTCCTGTGAATTAGGAAGAGTGATTCCCATGGAACATTCTGACCACTGACTACATAGAAGACAACTTCAGAACCACTGTTTATGACTTTTCAAGTATTTTAAGTCAAATGTGTAGCAGGTGTGGGTCACATGTGTCTCAGGAGAGCTATGAATGTAGTCTAACATAAAATCTTCAACTTACTTAATATTGTGGGATTTTTTTTTTTTTGGAAATTGATCACATGATTCTTGAGCATAAACTCTATAGGTAACAATGTGGTTTTGCAATATTGAAAGGTCGGACATACCTAGACCATCAATTAACCATTTTTAAAAAAATAAACCTAAAATCTGGAAGGCATTTCCATGGATTGTGCACTGAATTATTCTTTAAAAACATTCATTTTAAATATTTTATTGATTGTGTGTGTGTGTGTGTGTGTGTGTGTGTGTGTGTGTGTGTGTGTGTGTGTGTGTAAGCTGCACTCGGTCAGAGCACAGCCTGCAGGAGATGGCTGTCTTCTTCCACCATGTGTGTCCTAGGGCTGAGCAGAGGTGGTTGAACTTGGATCAATTACACTCACTGATCAATCTCACCAGCCCTTGATGGATTCTTCTAAGTCCTTAGAAGACTATGGGGAGTTTGAGGAACTATGATCATGAATTCAAATGGTCTGCATGGTAAGGCCATGAGGCAAGCATGGGCTGTTCAATAAGAGCTGTATCAAAAAAAAAGGAAAAAAAGAAAAACAAAATAAAAACCACCTGGGCAATGTGTCCTGCTGAGCTTCTATTTATCCTTGGATTTTCTGTTTGCATAGAAAGCAGCAATGGTAGTTCCTTAG